CGAACACAGCCCATGTCTGAAACCTATTCTCTTGACTTATATGTGCTATTTGCCTGGCACTGAAGGCTGCTCAGTTGGGCAGGTCCTCTGAGTTGTGAACTCAGTGCCAGCTCAGCATCCTCTCCTTTACTAGAGGCAATACTCTTTATCATGTCATTTCCCTGACAGACTGACTCAGTATGTCCCATAATTGACTTCCTCCAATATCAGTACTTTATGAGAAAGCTGTAACAATAGCTACTGAGTTCTAATTAGAGCTGTATCTGTAAGATTTAAAATTTTTATCTTTTTACATCCCACAACTAGAAGGACGTGCAACTAAGATATACAACTGTTTACAAGGGGGGTTTGGGGACATAAAGCAGAAAAAAAAATTTTTTTATCTCTTTTTTTGAGGAAGATTAGCCCTGAGCTAACTACTGCCAGTCCTCCTCTTTTTGCTGAGGAAGACTGGCCCTGAGCTAACATCCGTGCCCATCTTCCTCTACTTTATATGTGGAACGCCTACCACAGCATGGCGTGCCAAGCAGTGCCATGTCCGCAGCCGGGATCTGAACCAGCGAACCCCGGGCCGCCGAGAAGCGGAATGTGCGAACTTAACACTGCGCCACTGGGCCGGCTCCCCGCCCCCCCCCCGCCTTTTTTTTTTAAAGATTGGCACCTGAGCTAACACCTGTTGCTAATCTTTTTTTTTTTTAATTTATTTTCTTCTTCTCTCCAAGGCCCTCGAGTACATAGTTGTATATTTTAGTTATGGGTCCTTCTGGTTGTGTTATGTGGGACACTGCCACAGCATGGCCTGATGAGTGGTGCTAGTTCCGCACCCAGGATCCGAACTGGCGAAACCCTGGGCCGCTGAAGCGGAGCATGCCAACTTAACCATTCGGCCACGGGGCCAGCCCCTCCTTATTCTTAATTACTAAATACTTAAGACTCAAGAGAACATCTGATTTTAAGTCATTAGAGAAAAAAGAAACTTATCTGATTCTTAAAGTCTAAGAAAAGATTTTTGAAATCTATTGCTATATAAACAAAACCAAATGTTTAATTCAAAAAGAGTATGTCCTAAAGCCCCTGCTCACTAGGTAAAGATGAGCAGGACTGTACCCTAAGGTGAACTGAGGCAGAGTGGTAGGCAGAAGAACATTAGGCAGTGAGCTGGAAGGTCAGCCCCTAGCTGACCTGATCACTTTGCAGTCCCAACTTTCTTGAGTCATAATAGAGGAATGATAAAACCTTGCAAATCTCAGGGACGCTGGTTAAAATGAGCTAAGAACATCTCAATTCTCTATAAAGTGCTAGATTAAAAGCACAGAGCTGACAAATGCCGGTTTGAGACCTGGCTCTATCATTAATGAACTGTTGTATCTGAGGTACATAACACACTGTGTCCAAGCTCCAGTCTCTCAGTCTGTAAGGATTAACAAAGAAATGGCCCTAATGTTCCCAGCAAACAGCCTGCTGGATTCTTGTCCAAGGAGAGTCAAAGCAACCAGTATTTTCTTGCTAATGCCTTCCTCATAGAGTTTCTGAGATCTTACATGAGAAACCCCTATGAAGTGAGTTAGCCCAGTGACTGGTCCAATAAACGTTGATAAAGCCAACAAAGACTTATAAATATGAAGAATTTACTACATAATTGTTTACTGGTTTGCATCAAGGGAGAAATACAAAGGTTTACTGAACGCTATGTGTTCTAGGCACTGAGCCAGGCACACACTATACTTCTCTCATTCAGTTCTCATAACAGGCCTGTGCAGAAATCACTGGTAGGAAAAAAGCCACGGCTGTGCTTGCCCACAGGAAAGGACCACATACAAGCGCTAGGGTGGAGAAAACAGGTTATGTCTTAGTAGTCCATGACATGAACGAGAGACCTTCTGAAGTTTGTAGGACTCCTTTTGAATGTTGTGAGAGTGAACCTCCAAGCTGGCCCTCAACAATCCCATTTCCTAACATTTACACCTTCCCCACACAACTCTGTCTACCCCTCTACCCACTCCCGAACCGGGGTTGGTCTGTGTGACAGAGAGAATGCAGCAGAAGTGAAGGGATGTGACTTCCAACTTTAGGTTATAACAGACACTGTGACTTCCAGTTTGAGTGCTTTCATGTCCTTGCTCTTTCCATCACCTACTCTGGGGATTTCACAAGTAGTGCTATGGAAAGGCCCAAGTGGCAGGGAACTGAAGCCTCCTCCCAACAGCCACATGAATAAACTTGCAGGTACATCCTCTAGCCCCAGGTGAACCTTAAGAAAACTGCAACCTTGTGAGACATCTTGAGCCTGAACCACCCAGCTAAGCTGCTCTGAAGATTCCTAACCCTCAGAAACCGTGTGAGATATTATTTTCAGTCACTAAGCTTTGGGATAATTTTTTATATAGCAATAAATAGCTAATACAGTTGTACTACTGACATTTAGTGTCTAGGGCTAGGGACTATGCCATACAAAGAATTTTCCTGCCCCAAATTGTGATGAAGAAAAGGCAGGTTGACGGGCCAGCCCCGGTGGTCTAATGGTTAAGTCCGGTGAGCTCTGCTTCAGCAGCCTGGGTTCAGTTCCCAGGCATGGACCTAGACCACTTATCTTTCAATGGCCATGCTGTGGCGGTGGCTCACCAAAGGCTGACCACCAAAGGATTCAAGCAGAGCAAACTTGCATGGTGGAGAGATTCAGTAGAATGTTTTCCCAACATTTTCAACTGTGCTGTTTTATTCAGAGACCATTCTGTAAAATGTTTTATGTACTCTGATTAAAAGTTAACATTAAAAAAGATTCAAGTAAGAAAAACATGGTAGAGTTACATAACTTGAGATTTTATAAATATTAAAAATCCACAGCACAAGGGAAATTCTAAAAGGTAAAGAGATGTCTGGGAATCAGCAGAAAGAGCTGGGTGGGGGCTGAGGGCTCTGCTGTTCCAGGTGACAGACAGTTCCCTCAGTGGTTTAAAAGAGCAGGGGATCTGCAGGCTCACCCTCTGAAGAGACCTTGACTAAAAGCTGAGAAAAGAGCCCCTTAACAATTTAAACATTGTTCTCCAAGTGCCCAGTCAGGGTCACACCAATCTTCCAGGCTAACACATCAGCTCTGCTTTATGAACAACCAGGCATCTGGTTGAAGGGAACTACCCAATCATCACTGGAATTCTGCATGTGCCAATAATCCATTATACTATACCCTTCTGTTATCCCAAGTCCCCTAAGGAAAATCTGTAAAATGACAAAAGGGCAGCTCATTAGGGTAAGATAAACACAAACACTCATCCCTCCAAGCTCCAGCTCCTGTCTAGGAATACCCTCCAACGCCTTCTCCCTCTGCCCATGTTCCAGGTATTCGTCCTCTCTGTTCCCATACGAGCACTGAACACACTATGTCATGTGTTTTCTTGACTGCTTTCCCCATTAAACTAAACTGAGTCCCCCAAGGGTGGACTTTCTTTCCACTTTTCCAGCTTTCTGACACTCATGCTGGCATACATTCACTCATCAGACACTTAAACAAGGGCCTATGATGTGCCAGTTGTGTAATAATAAAGACACTGATTGATTCTGACCTCGAAGAATATACACTCTGGTACGTTAGCAAAGACAATATAAGTGCTCTGTTAGGCTGCCATAACAGCAAAATGGGAGGGCACATCACCCACAGGTGCAGGGCTGAGGGACACAGGAAGTGGGCAAAGAGGGGGGAAAAGGGCCTTGTTGGCAGAGGAGCAGGACGCACACAGGTGGCACAGAGAACAAGGCCATGGGGGAAGCCTGCATGTGGTGTGGTGTGGCTGGTGCAGAGATGAGACTGGGGTAGCCAACAGCTCCTGGGCAGGAGAGGGCCAGGGATACAAGAAATGCTTACAGGGCCAGGGAACTGGGGATGGATGTGGGCAGGAGAGTTACTGAAGCAGCCTCTCCTTCCTCATGGGGACAGGATGCCCATGTAAGTGGCAGAGCCAGTCTGCAGAGAAAATGGAAATGGGCTATTGTGATAGTTACCGGGCTACTCATTATGAAGATCTGTCAGAGGACTTGCTTGGATTGACCACTAAGAAATAGCTTAACAAATGCAAACAGATCCTTAAAATTAAAACTCTTTCGGGACGATTCAACCTTAAGGTTCTACCATTTAGAGATATCACTATCTCGTACACAGATAAAAAATTGAAAATAATCAGAGGGAAAAAGTCCCAACTAATTCCTCAAATTCAGCCGACTGTTTAGAAAGACATCAATTCCTTTCCTAGTCAACTCATTAAAAAAAAATTTCTCCAAAGAGCTTAATCTTGGATTCTCCAAAAATTCCCTTGAGATAACCAAATGTTCCCCTGCTTCTATGTTTCCTACTTTATGTGGCTTCTTTTCTCATTCTTTGCATTTTCTTAATTCTTTTGGTCCTGTTTGGGCCATATCCTTCTACCAAAAGCATCTGCCCCAGAAATTCCTGCTTAGGAGCTTTCTGCACAGGCCTAGCTCCCCCTGCCCTTCACTACACAGGAGAGGGAAGGAAGAGTGAGAGCCCAAGAGCAGCTCTGAGGACAGACTGGCTAACACAGAACACAGAAATGAGTCTCCTAACTCACAATGAGATCAATTCTTACTTTCTGATATTTACGCTGAAGAAGACAGGAAACCAAGAAAGTTCTCCAATCAGATAATGGATCTATATGGATTCTACTTAATTGGTAACAAGTAGGTAATAAAATAAGTCTAAGATCCAACTTTTGTAGAAGGGAGAATTTGATAACATCATGCATCTGGAAAGCTGAGAGGTATAAGAAGCTGAGGTTTGGACAATAACTTTATGAAGGTGAACCGAGTTCCTTTTATTTATCATCACTAGCTAATAACCCTTTTGAGAGGGCAAAGCAAACACAGAAAAAAGGACAGAAGATGGTTACAGAGACCAACAAATTAGGCTACCATTTATTTTATCTAACTTGTATTTTATGAAAGGTGGTCAGACTTTGTCAAAAAGCCACTATGAAACTCCCCTTACTTACAGCCTCTTTCTCTCTGTCCATGATAGTCTCCAGCTCCTCAAAATGTCGCAGTTTGATCTCTAGCTTCTTCATCTGCGTCTCAACCAGGAGAGCTACCAGAGACTTGATCTTCCTTTCCTCCACAGCAGCCAGGTGCTAAACGTAAAAGACCATTCAAATTATTTAGGTAAACATTTACTTAAAAAACGTAACAAAATGCTGCAATTGCTATTCAAAGTAGGGATTATGTAATTAAGAATGGTGCCCTAGATGTCCCCTTTCTATGTTTCTACCAAACATTTATTTCAATTTAAAATAACAACTGTCCCTGAATTTCTGGTACTTACAGATATAAATCAACTCTCTTTTAAAGATTAAAGGAAATTCCTCCCATGGTAAACTACTCCTTTCAAAGAGCCCATCAAAGGAGAGGCTGAAACAGGGTCCTGATAGGCAAAGAGAAGGACACGGGTGGTCTGGATGATACCTCCCCATCTACCATCCCTTTGCCCCATACCCTCAACCCAGTTCTCTGTCCTTCCCCTCACTATCCTTCCTGCCTTCTGAAGTGTCCAGGGCCAGGCAAAAAAACAGTGGTCTCTCTCAGCACCCAACACTCGGATGCAAAGCCTCTGCCTTCTCTCTGTTGAGCGGAACTGTATATGGAGAGGAGCGGTGAACAATATTCCACCCCTAGTTTAGAGGATATGGTCCAGAGCAAGAAAAACAAATGGTACAAGACAGTTAGTTACTCTGGAAGAATGTGCCACTTCCCTGCAACACGACTGATGATGAGTCCTACTCATGCTCTGGTCAACTCAGCAGCACACAGAGGAAGAGGCAACATCACTCAGAGAGGAAGAGGACCCCATATTTGGCCAAGGGCCTGACTATCTGCATGGGATCAATGCCACCTTCTCCAGACAGTACCTGAGAGCTTACACCAACGAACTCCCAACACCACTTTGCATTCACTTTTATTCTGTCTGCTGAATTTATGTGCTTATCTTGCTTCTACACAAGGTTTTGAGAAATAACATGCAGTGGCTTTCTTATCAGTCTTACAGAATCTAGAAGGAGCTAATATGCATTAGGAGTTTAATATAGGCTTCTGGGAGCTAAATTGATAGACTACACTTAAATGAGAGCCTTCCTTTTCACTTTTTCATAGGTGAAAAAGAGAAATGTAGTTTTCTACCTGTGGAGATCCATCTGCGGGAAGATTCAGACGTGTAAGCCAAAGGTGACGATGAGCAGGTTTATGAATAAGTCTACAACTATTAATGATCATGTCTGCCTCCCTAAGCTACACTGAGCTACATCAATAACACCAGAAGTTTAAATAAAGATTACAAGATTTTAAGCCTGCTTAAGAGTTATGCAATTTGTATTTCTGATTAAGAAATTTATGCACATGATATAAAATTCAAAGTCTACAAGGACGTGTCAAATAAAAACTAAGTCTCTCTCTCACTTGTGTCACCTAGCCCCTGCCTTTGCAGAAGACTAATGTTATCAATTTCTACGCCTATTTTTATGAGACTGTGACTTCTAGAACTCTGCTGGCTTTGGTTCTATTTTCTTGAGATTTATGCAGGAACTTGGGGGACATCCTCAAATATTATCAAATAAATATGCCAAAATATTTCCTCTCACAGCTGAAGATCACAAGTTTTCAAACAGAAAGGAATCACCAAGTAAGAAGAAAATTAACATTAAAAAAGGATCCACAGCAAGAAACAATTATGGAAATTTAAGAACACAAGACAGAGTGAAAATCCTAAAAGTTTCCAGAAAGGCAAACCAATAAAAAAAGAGGTTACAAACAAAAATTCAGAATGTGGATCAGACTTCTCAAAAGCAAAACTTCACTACTGAAGACAACGGTAAAACGCCTTCCAAATTGTAAGGGATGATGAATTTTAACCTAAAGTTTCAAGTACAGCAACTTACATCAATTAACTGTGAGTACAGAAGACAGACATTTCTGAAATCAAGGACTCAAAAAAGTTTACTTCTTACACACGCTATTAAAAGATGTGCTCCAGTAACTTACTGCAAAACCAGAAAAAGACAAAGACATGAGATCCAGAAGTCATAGACTCAACCTAAGAAAGAAGGCCTAAGTTCACAGGGGCCATCAAGAGGCCAAAAGCAAACAGGGACAAATGAAATAAGATGGCAAGATGCTCATAACCAAAGCTGGCTGATGGGTACAGAAAGTCATTATACTATTTTGTCTACTTCTGTATATATTCCAACAGTTCCATAATAAAGTTTAAAAGGGAGCAGTGGGTGGTCAACAGATGGTGCTGGGAAAACTGGGTATCCAAAGGTAAAACAATTAATTTGGACTCTACCTCACATCATACATAAAAAATTCTTAGAAGAAAAACAGGAGTAAATCTAAATGATCTTGGGTTAAGGGAAAGATTTCTTAGATATAACAACAAAGCACAACTGGTAAGAGGAGACTGGTAAATTGGACTTCATTAAAATTGAAAACATCTCTGCTTAAAAGGACACCATTAAGAATGTGAAAGCACAACTCAGACTGTGAGAAAATATTTGCAAATCATAGTGTGATGAGAGACGTGTATCCAGACTATATAAAGAACTCTTCTAACTCACACCTAGGGATGAAGTGATACTGGTAGAGACCTGAAGGACTTCTAACACAAGTTGGTCACCATCTCAAGACACTTGGCAAAGGCTGAAGACGTAGAGGATGAGAAGCTAAGGAGTTAAGTTAAGGAAGAAAAGAAATTCCTGCAAACTCCTTTTTAAGGTGATAAACATTGCCTCAAAAATCTCAATCAAAGGTTTTGAAAAGTCACACCCAAGGAACAGGGGCAGTCCAGAAAGACAATGACCGAACTGTCATCTTCCTTCAACTCAGTTCTCCCCTTCTCAATTCTAGTAACACCACAGAGGAAGGCTGAATTGTATGTAGAATACATCATCACCTGGAGCATCTAAATTTTTATACACATCTGGCATTCAATCAATAAAGCAGATCCATAGATGGTACAGACACTGCACACAGCAGGCAAGGACTTTAAAATAAGTATATACACTATGTTCAAGAAAATGCAGGAAGGTATGGATGAAAAGAGAATTTCAACAGAGATTTAGAATTTGCATATATATATAAAAAAATAATGAATACTGGCACATCAGATTGAAAATACGACTAAAAAACTAACAACTGAAATTAATAACTCAACAATTAGGTTTAAAAGCAGAAAACTTCACTAATGAAGTGAAAGACAGATCAACAAAAAACAGACTGCAGCAGAGAGAAAAACAATGAAAAAGAAAACTATAACCAAGGTGCCAGCTCTATGGCTGAGCGGTTAAGTTTGCACACTCCACTTTGGCAGCCAAGGGTTTTGCTGGTTCAGATCCTGGGTGCGGACATGGCACTGCTCATCAAGCCATGCTGAGGCAGCATCCCACATGCCACAGCTGGAAGGACTTACAACTAGAACATACAACTATGTACTGGGGAGCTTTGGGGAGAAGAAGAAGAAGAAAAGAAGATTGGCATCAGATGCTAGCTCAGGTGCCAACCTTTAAAAAAAGAAAGAAAAAGAAAACTATAACCAAGCATATCAGAGATGTGGGACATGGGCAAAAAGTAACACTAAAAATTTATGTAGATCGAATCACAGGAGAGGATGGAGAATGAGGTGGAAGCAATATTTTTCTTTTTTTTTTTCCTGAGGAAGATTAGCCTTGAGCTAACATCTGCCAATCCTCCTCTTTTTTCTGAGGAAGACTGGCCGTGAGCTAACATCCATGCCCATCTTTCTCTACTTTATATGTGGGACACCTGCCACAGCATGGCTTGCCAAGCGGTGCCATGTCCACACCCAGGATCCGAAACGGCGAACCCCGGGCCGCTGAAGCAGAACGTGCACACTTAACTGTTGCGCCACTGGGCCGGCCCCAGAAGCAATATTTAAAGAGATAATGGGCGAGAATTTCCTCAAACAGATGAAACAACTCAACTGAGAGATTTAAGAAGTTTAGCAAATGCCAAAGACAGAAAATACAACAAAAATCACACCAAAGTACAACACAGAGTACAAAAAACCAAGACAATCTTAAAAGTATCCAGGGGGGGAAAAGCACATTACCTTCAATTGCCTCCAACAGTAACAACAATAAGGCTTAAGGGGGCTTATCCACAGTCACAATAGACAACGGAATGACATTTTTAAAAGTGTTGAAAGAAAATAAGTGATAACCTTGAATTCTATACCCACTGAAAATACACTTTAAAAATGAAGGTGAAATCAAGGCCTTTTAAGAGAAACAAAACAGAAGCCATTGCTAGCAGGCCTGCAATGAAAAAAATTCTAAAGGGAGTTCTCCTAAACAGGAGGAAAACAATCCATTCCATTAAAGAAAACACTGAAATGGAGAAAAGAACTGAGAAGCAGTGGACAGGGAAAAGTAAACTAAGGTTCTAGCGTTAACTGAAGAAGTGGTAAAATCAGTTTGGATTAAATTGCAATAATTCCAGAATGCATCATGTAATCATTAGGAAAAACACTAAAAGACTAACAAAAGTATTTGTAATTAACAAGATCACAGAGGAAAAAACAGAATAAAAAACACCAGATTCATTAAAAATAAGATGTTAGCGCCGGAGGAAACTGGTGACTAGTATACAGGACTGCTCTGTAATTTTTTGCCACTTCTATGAATCCATAGTTATTTCAAAATAAAATGAGAAGAAGAAAAACCTGTCCAAGGCAATACAACTATCATATGGTAGGAAAGGGATTAAAATCCTGGTTTGAAGACTTTAAAATGCGACACCTAAGGTGTGAGGTAGAAGAGATACTGAATTCGTGGCTGTTTAGGTAAATGTTATTTTACTACCTCATGTATTAAGGGTGGTTTGATTACGCTGAGAATTTACACTGGACCAGCTTTAGCCCTTAATTAGATATGTCTTCAAATGTTCTTTGATAATTTTATATGTACTCATCTTGTCTCCTTTGACACTAAGAGTTTTCTGGCCCTCCAGCCCTATGAATTATTTCTCTCTTGTTAAGCTACATTGCACAGAGGTTAACAGAAACGGGAGGAAGGGAGGCCAGACTGCTTACTGCCTGTAGAACACGGCCTAGAAGTCACCTTGC